GTGTCCCCGCGTGTCCCCGCGACGCTGTCCCCTGTCCCCAGGGCCGGGCGCAAGGACAAGGCCGTGGACCCGGTGGAGTGGTCAGTGCGGGACGTGGTCGAGTACTTCACCGAGGCCGGCTTCCCCGAGCAGGCCGGGGCCTTCCAGGAGCAGGTGGGGCCACCCTGTCCCCTCTGTCCCCTGCTGTCCCCTGTCCCTGTGGCTGTCCCTCCCTGTCCCCTGTCCCTGTGGCTGTCCCCGGTGTCCCTCGCTGTCCCCAATGTCCCTCGCTGTCCCCAGGAGATCGACGGCAAGTCGCTGCTGCCGATGCAGAGGGCCGATGTGCTCACGGGGCTCTCTGTCCCTGCATCCCCCCGGGTGTCCCCTGTCCCTGTGGCTGTCCCCGGTGTCCCTCGCTGTCCCCAATGTCCCTCGCTGTCCCCGTGTCCCCAGGAGATCGACGGCAAGTCGCTGCTGCTGATGCAGAGGGCCGATGTGCTCACGGGGCTCTCCATCCGCCTGGGCCCCGCGCTCAAGATCTACGAGTACCATGTGAAGCTGCTGCAGCGCAGCCACTTCCAGGACGAGGAGCCCCCCCCGGAGCCCTTCCCGGCCTGAGAGACCCCCCCAGAGCCGCGGGGACACCCCCAGACCCACGGGGACACCCCCAAACCCGTGGGGACACCTCGGTATCCGGGAGGGCTCCTCCCTCCCCCCGCTGCTGCACACAGAGACTTTGGGGGGTGGGCGGGGGTCACGGGGTTCCCACCTCACTTTGGGGGTCCCACCTCTCTTTGGGGGAGTCCCATCCCTATTTTGGGGGGGGTCTTGCCTCTCTTTAGGGTCCCACCTCTCATTTGAGGGGTCCCGCCTTGCTTTGAGGGGGTCTCATCTCTCTTTTGGGGGAGAATCCCATCTTTCTTTGGGGGTCCCACCCCTCTTTGAGAGGTCTCTCTTTTGGGGTGGCACTGCTCTAGGGGGACACCCCTCTTTGGAGGCACTGCCTCTCTTTTGGGGGGGGTCTCACCCTGTTTTTGGGGGCGCTTCTCTTTGGGGGGGTCATTTCTCCGGGGGGATCCCACCCCTCTTTTGGGGGGACTTCTCCTTGGGGACCCTTCTTTTGTGGGGGCACTTCTCTTTAGAGGGGTCCTCCCCTCTCTTTTGGGGGGGATCCCACACCCTGAGGGGGTCACCCCTCTTCTGGGGGGTATCATCCCTCTTTTGGGGGGTCGCCCCTCTTGTGGGGTGCCTTCTCTCTGGGGCGCATTGGGGGTGGGACACCCCGCTCCTTCTGGGGTCACTCCTCTTTTGGGGGGGCCCCTCTTGGGGTGGGGTCACCCCTCCTTGAGGGAGCCCCCTTTTTAGGGGATCCCCCTTTTCTTGGGGGGGATTTTTACCACGGGGGGGAGGGGGTTGGGGGGGCTCTGCCCGGAGATGTTTTAACCTTCCCCAGCCCGTGCCCCCCACCCAAATTAGGGTGCGGCCCCCCCATCCCTTGGCCACGAGGAGGGGGAAGCCCCCCTAACCGTCCCGCCCCCCCCGCAGTCTGTGCCCCCCCTTTCCCCGGGCCTGGCTCGTTTTGGGTTTTTTTAA